GTGTTAAAATTGTCCATCTAAGAAAAAAAGAGGCCCACTTGAGGCTAAATTTAGATAGAATTTATACTCTCCTGTGTAAAGAATTGGTCATATTCTTGGCAATTCATGCAGCAAATATTTCAATAGTGCTTCATTTTGTAGTTTCTATCTTTCATTATATCAGGCATATATAATATTTCATTTTCTACTGTTTGAAAGGACTTTTGTTGGAAATTAATACTCCCAAGGGACATAATTCAGCTTTTTCATAGATTAATACAGGCAACAAAGGCAACTTTACAGCTGAGTATTTTGCATATTTAATGTTGAAAGTGTCTAATATCTTTGTTCTCATCATCTCAAGACAGAATAATGGATTTTATAACAAGCTCTGAAATTTTGAACCACAATATGGCATATACTAAAGCATGGAATGGAGATTAGTATGAAAAATCTTGAGTTTGTGCTTATGTTGTAAATTTTGGATGAAATGAATACAAATTGAATGGAACTGTTATTTTTATCTGTTTAAATGGAACTGTTTATTATTCTTTTTAAATAAGATAAGATATGATTGGATACAGGTTGTTTATTAAGCCTTATCTGAAAGAAGTAGAGAAAGAGGTAAACCAGCATGTAGGGGTGGGGACATTAAATGATCCATGTTTCTTTAAGTAATGGGAACATACAAGTATTTATTATAGCCAAGGTTTTCACAATAACCCAGTATTGCATTAATGGTGTCAAAAGAATTCTTTATATCTTTATGTCACAGTATAGGGAAAACGGTACTATTATATTTTCCCAGCATTAGGTTGGTCTTTTGTGTACCCAAGGCAGGTGAAGGAAGTCAACTTAGGAGCGCTGTGATTGGATGTTAGGGTACAATATATTTTTTTATTTATCTATGAATAACTGCAGTGTGTATATTTACAATATAAATTTTGAAACCTATTGAAATATTTTCTAGAGAATTATTCGAAAAGACTTCAAAAATTTCATAAATTTGGTGTAAAATGACGGTGGGCATGGATAACATTAACAAGCTCCATTGGAAGTTGGTCATGATACTATTTGGCTTCAATTTTCAAAACAGAATAATAAAGTACTAACACCACACATAACTGTTTTATCGGGGTTTTTATTATAAAAAGTGGTAAATTTAGAAAATGTTAGTATTGTCGCCTATGGCAGAATAAATAGTACCGTTTTCCCTATACTGAAGATAGCAAGGGAAATCAAAATCAATCCGACTTCAGTTAAAGTATACTATTTTGAAGCTTTTGGTTAGTACATTTGATTTTTATCACAAAGAATATAATTTTTTCACTGAGAACAATACTGTGTTGAGAAAAGTGCTGAGTCATCATAATAAGTCAAATTGATGGGTACTGATATAAAACTTTATTCTAGGATTTCAATATTAACTATATTGTATAAAATGCACCAAACTATAGTTCTTTTGTATTTGTTTTCACCTTTCGCAATGATTAATTCAATTGGAAACACCAGAATTCAAGTCACGACAAATATTTTTAACTGAAATATTTGCCTTTTTTGCTGTGTAATTCCCTAAATGTATCACTTGGGTATTTCTGTAGACATAATCTATTCAATTGGGAAATTGTCTGGTTAAGTTTGTACTGTTTATGGAGTAAGGCAACATTTGGTCATACTAGAAGCATTTTCAGTGTTAAAATTGTCCATCTAAGAAAAAAAGAGGCCCACTTGAGGCTAAATTTAGATAGAATTTATACTCTCCTGTGTAAAGAATTGGTCATATTCTTGGCAATTCATGCAGCAAATATTTCAATAGTGCTTCATTTTGTAGTTTCTATCTTTCATTATATCAGGCATATATAATATTTCATTTTCTACTGTTTGAAAGGACTTTTGTTGGAAATTAATACTCCCAAGGGACATAATTCAGCTTTTTCATAGATTAATACAGGCAACAAAGGCAACTTTACAGCTGAGTATTTTGCATATTTAATGTTGAAAGTGTCTAATATCTTTGTTCTCATCATCTCAAGACAGAATAATGGATTTTATAACAAGCTCTGAAATTTTGAACCACAATATGGCATATACTAAAGCATGGAATGGAGATTAGTATGAAAAATCTTGAGTTTGTGCTTATGTTGTAAATTTTGGATGAAATGAATACAAATTGAATGGAACTGTTATTTTTATCTGTTTAAATGGAACTGTTTATTATTCTTTTTAAATAAGATAAGATATGATTGGATACAGGTTGTTTATTAAGCCTTATCTGAAAGAAGTAGAGAAAGAGGTAAACCAGCATGTAGGGGTGGGGACATTAAATGATCCATGTTTCTTTAAGTAATGGGAACATACAAGTATTTATTATAGCCAAGGTTTTCACAATAACCCAGTATTGCATTAATGGTGTCAAAAGAATTCTTTATATCTTTATGTCACAGTATAGGGAAAACGGTACTATTATATTTTCCCAGCATTAGGTTGGTCTTTTGTGTACCCAAGGCAGGTGAAGGAAGTCAACTTAGGAGCGCTGTGATTGGATGTTAGGGTACAATATATTTTTTTATTTATCTATGAATAACTGCAGTGTGTATATTTACAATATAAATTTTGAAACCTATTGAAATATTTTCTAGAGAATTATTCGAAAAGACTTCAAAAATTTCATAAATTTGGTGTAAAATGACGGTGGGCATGGATAACATTAACAAGCTCCATTGGAAGTTGGTCATGATACTATTTGGCTTCAATTTTCAAAACAGAATAATAAAGTACTAACACCACACATAACTGTTTTATCGGGGTTTTTATTATAAAAAGTGGTAAATTTAGAAAATGTTAGTATTGTCGCCTATGGCAGAATAAATAGTACCGTTTTCCCTACAGTCGACATACACGCCATCTTGAAATAATGACTTATCACATATAGATTCTGATTGGTTGCTTTATGATGCGGCTGAGATACAGCAACAGCTATTGGCTTAAATGAGATACAGACTTTTCTCGTCTCAGGATAAGACATCAAATGCCGGAAAATTAACTATGTGTATTTCAGTTCCGATCAACCGTCATTAATTCATGTTCGTTTTATTATGCATATATTGCACACTGAAATTCAACATTGAAATATCAATTATTAATACGTGTTTATTTGCTTTGTTAATCTGCAATATGCACGATTTGTTTTGCTAAACAATGTTCCTATACAATGTTTACAAAAATGCATTATCTGTATTTTATAACTTCTGCCAATCTAGGCACACCTCCAGAGTCGTGTCTATTTGTAAATGTTTGAATATTCAACAAGTAAAGTGAACAAAATTTTAAAAGCATGGGTGTATAACGCACACTCTTAAAGAAGAAAAACATCATTTTCACTTAAACTAAATGCTTCGCATTGCAAGCTTTATGGTAAATCGTCGGTAATACGAATATCACGTAATAATTGTTTTCGCGCGGAAAATAATGTATATACAAAAATTGATATTCCAAGTCTAAAACATCCATTTTATATCAATCAATATATAAAAATACCACATTTCCAATACTAAATCAACAACCACATGCACATATATTACCTTAAACTAGGATAGAGCGAAGCAGTCCACAGCTTTTTAGAAAGCTCTAGCTTGTATATATATATATACTCTTGTAACAGGAGAGTCGGGTGTCTATGCGTCTCCGTTCTACTCGTGTATACTTAGGTACCGTGAATTACCGACAAAATCAATCACCAACAGACTTTGACCTCAACCAGTGTAAGTGTAAATATTTTAATCCTGTAACCCAAATACGATAGACGATGGATGCCTTTACTGCACCAATTCGGATTTTAAACGTACTAATTCACGCAACATGGGCCAAAGCAAAACATAACAGTATTATTTAAAACGTACATGCAAATGCATATCGTCTTACATTCCTTATTTATCTTTCCAAATTGATTAGAATCTTGTTATAGTCATTTTTTTTCAAGATTTTCATCTTTGCTGCAAATTGATAGTAAGGTTCATCATAAATATTTGGCAAATATGACCGTTTTTTCCCATAAATTTTATTCTGAGAACAGACAAACATGTGCACCTGGTGAAGTTTTAGGTTACAATTCTGTAAAAATAGACAATGCAATTTTTAATAGGAACTTCTTTTACGGATAAAACTGTGTAACTTTTACTATGAAGTTTCATAAAAATTATATCCTGGAATAGATAGTTCATATGCACTACAATTTTTGCAAAGATCAAAACATAGGGCTGTGTGGCATATTTTCAACATTTATATGTCTCGAACTGCTATGAGTTTAAACTTTATACTAACATTCTGTACAACTTTGAGTCTTCCTGTGAACTCAATATGACCGCTATCCAGCTGTATTTATACTGGTAAAATTCCGAAGCCGTGTCTATATAAGATTAAACATGGAGATCATATCTGAGAACCAGTAGTTAAACAAAACAAAGTATCTATGAATATTTTAAAATGTCTCCCCAAAAGAGGCGAGATTTATGAAACAGCTGTGTTAACAAAGTGTTTTTAGAATAATTCAGGCCTTTAGTTTTCTCTTTTTTTTCGTTTTTTCATGCCGTTTCTTTTATAGCTTACTATGCGGTATGGGTTTTGCTCATGGTTGAATGTCGTATGGTTCGCCATTTATATATAGTTGCTAAAATCTACGTGATTTGGACTCTGGCGGATGATTGTATCATAGTCATACCACATATCCTTTTTTTTTTAAATAAAACATTGCAACAAGGGTTAATACAATGCTCTATTGGTATATACAGAAAGACTTTTTTTCCCCAAGCAGTTTCTTGAGAAACGCAAGACTTATATAAAACTTTTACGATGTAGATAAATATTAAATATTAGTTGTTTTTGATAAACATACATTTCTTATTTCAGGCTTACAGTATAGTGTACTTGCTAATAGTTCTACTTTCGGTTGTCATGACATTTTTGTTTACCGTTCATGAGGTCCGGGAAAAGGCTTTTGATCTTGACACACTAATCAACAAATCAAAATCGGCCATTGGTGTAGTAGCTTTCAACGTGAACAGTTCCAAAGAAGTTTTATTTCTAACAACGAGAATGCCAAAGTGGTGGTATCAGTTAGATCGTGCCTTAATGGGATATTTTACAGTAGAATTTATTGTGCGATTCATAGCCTGTCCATCAAAACAGACATTCGCCAAATGTTGGTTAAATATTTTGGATTTTGTTTTAAATATGTCAATGTGGACTAGGTTTGGTATAGAACAACTAAATCATGAAAAAATGTTAACGACATCTAATAGCGTGATAATTTGGGTTTGGGGCTTATCCTATTGTATGGTTTCGTTGAGAATTCTTCGATTCCTGCGTGTAAATAGGCAGTATTTTGAGCTACGCGTCCTCTTGCTGACCTTGAAACAAAGTAGCAAAGAGCTTTTGCTTTTATTTGTAAGCTTCATACTTTTGGCTGCACTGTTCGCAAATTTTATATTTTATGCGGAGTACGAAGACCCAACAGCGTTTCCATCAACGTTTTCCGGTCTATGGTGGTCTGTTGTTACCATGACAACAGTTGGATACGGTGACACTGTTCCAAAATCAATACTTGGAAAAGTAATAGGAGGCGCATGTGCTATGTGTGGTCTTCTAGTAATTGCAATGCCAATTACAATTGTTGCTTCTAAATTTAATGATAACTATCGCAAAATGAAAGATATTGTTAAATTCAAACTAAAAATCAGTGTGAAAAAGATCGCAAACATAAGATCCTGTATAAGAAAATAACTTTCAAATTGGTTTGCAGGAAAAGTCACTACTAGTAATTGAAATGGAAATTTGCAACCGTCAAAGCCCATTTGACTATGACAACACTGCCAAGTTCAAAGTTCAAACATATTACTGTTCATTCTTTTGTAATGCAATACTTCTAAAAATAAAGAAATAACATTTTATATATAAATGAAAATAATAATATCGTATGCGTCCAAAGCGCTTTTCTTTCATCAGGAACGCTCAATGCCAAATATTTGAAAGCCAATGTATAAACATAAGAGCTTTATGACCAAAAGAGATATAAAAAAATATGCCAAATCAATATACGGCCAACTTTGCCTGAAGACGTCCGTACCTTAGTTTCTTAATACTTTTTAAATTTATATAAGGTCATTTAAGAAAGGTACGTTATAAATCATGTCCGTACCGAAGCACGGACTACGGAGCTGATGATACCCTAGCGGACTAATAGTCCACTAGCAGCGGTATAGACCCAGTGCTATAAATAAAATCACCACTTACTAAATGGTATTTGTCCAAAGCTCTTTTCTTGATTTACCTCCATTAGGAACTCTCCAAGCCAAATATTTGAAACCCAAGGATTTATAAGTAAAAAAAACACTTGAAAAACTACATGACCAACAAGGATATAAAAAAAATAGCCAAATCCATTTAAGGTCAACTTTGCCTGAGGGAGTTGGAACCTCAGTTTTTTAATACTTTCTAAATTTAAACCCAGACAATTTAAGGATGTTCGCTACTCAGTTTCAAAATAACAAGCTTTTCATAACACTCGTATATATTGATAGGGGATTTATAAAGGAACAAAAAGAGCGAAAAAAAATATAGGTCCGTGTGCTTGTTTTTGAGATATTAGCCATTGAAATGTTGGCGGGAAAATGTTATCTCTTGATTTTTCATAGCTTTATCATTGACAAGTTTAAGTTCTCAAAGACTATTAAAAGGAAGAAAGTAAATCTTGTCAGTACCGTAACACTAACAATTGAGCTGATGATTTCCTTGGGGACTAATAGTCAACAAGAACGTGTATTGACACAGTACTATAAAATATGAAAAATACTTTATATTGAAAAAACAAAATTATAAATATAATAAAAAAAAAAAGTCAACTGTGATTTTGCAACAATGCGATAATTTCTGGCAAGCATTGACCAATGAAAATTGTCGTTACATTTCATATTGCATTATAATACATCCCTTTCATAAAAATAGAAAAATAAATAGTTTCGCGAATAAATAGAGAATAAACAGTGTCTCAATATTACAACTCTCAAATATACGTATGTTTAAAAGTAAGAAGATGTGGTATAATTGCCAATTAGACAAATCTCCACCTGAGACCAAATGACTATAGGTCACGGTCGTAAAAACTCAGTGGCAAGAACCGATTGCAATAGTCCTTCTCGTCTTTTTTCAAAAACTAAAATATGCGTACAACGTGTATTTCAAAATCGTACACCATGTACACGAGTAGGAATAATGTATTTCCTTGTATTCTCGAAAGACAATTCGAGCGTTAAATATTTGTTGAAAAACATTGCAATAATTTCTGGGCATATGGCCGGTTCGGATATGTGAAAATACGGACTGTCAAACAGAAAATGTTATTTAAAACATGCAAAAACAATCATGTTCATATAAACCCACTTTGAAGACTATATTATTCTTCAGCTATCTAAAAATTAATTTTATTGCACAATAACTTTCATATTTGAAAAAATTCACAGCGGCCAAAATGCGGAACCAAACCCCCTACCTTACTCAGCGATGTCACATACGATGCAAATAAGACGGGTTTATATGGTAACGACAATTGGAGAATATTCGTCGTCAGATGTGAAATAGATACTCCATAACGGTCAACCAACTGGCGATGGCGTTAAAGTATTTAAGTGGTACATGCTTTATGTTTGAATAAACATGCTGTATCGTTCTCATATTTGATCAACATTTGATGACAGTTTTAATCTCCCTTCAGAACTATCACAATAATCTGTTATAGAACTGTTCTAAACGATTTCTAAAATACTTCTACCCTAAAACTGTTCTATAGTAAAACTTTCGGCATACCTACTAGGATAGAACAGTCAACAACAATTCTAGGGTAGAATAGTCTTAATCAGCAACTCTATGGTAGAACTGTGTTGATCAGTTTGTCTTAAACTATGTACTTGACTTGATCTTTTAACCTTTTTTATTCGAGCGTCACTGATGAGTCAATTTGTAGACGAAACGAGTTTGGATGACAACATTTTAATCCTGGTATCTATCATGTGTTTATTTTCAAACGGAAAGAGCTATACTCAACCGGTTTTTTTTTTTTTTTTTGTGGAAAAGTGGTCCTTGATAAAATTGTTATTCTGAGATGATATGTATGTTGAATATGTTGAACTCGTATTTAATAGATATAGTTGTACTACACTGACACTGTAAATATCTATAAATATTTCATTATATTATTGACTTTATACAAATTGATGATATTCCCGTATGAAATACATGACACGTACTCCAGCCGGACAGTAGCCGTACTGAGAACCGTACTTATAACATTCATTTGGACTTTTCTTTGAATTGCTTATAATGGATACCCCGGCTGGACTTTCAGTGAAATTAGCCGTAAACCGGCTCGAAATATTAAAATTAGCAGGAATCCAGTTCATAAAGTCCATCTGGACTATAATTAATAAAAGTACGTCTGAAAAATAATCCAGCTGGCATTTCTGGCAAAAATATGGATTCTATAAAGTTCAGCTGGACTTTTTGTAGTCCGGCTGAACTTTAAGAAGTCCAGCTGAACTCTATAAAGTCCAGCTGGATTACAAAAAGTCCAGTTTGACTTTTATAAGATGATCTTAGTTTTTCTTTAGATGGTTGATTCTTCTGCTTTATAAGTACCATCCCTTGTTATCATCTGAAAAATACAAAAAACAAATGGCATTATAAATATATAGTGGTTATTTTATTTTTTTTTTTTTTTTTGTGTACAGCTGACTTAAATGGCAAAACCAAGAGATTGGGAATTGAACTAAATGCTAACTCCTAAAATCAACATAAAGTTAGCGTTTGAATACTAAAACTGTAGAAAACAAAATCTTTCAAAGCAAATATAATTAAATCATTCCTTAATACAGGGGGAATAGAAAATTTAACACAACAAATTCATATGCAAGAGGTTTTTTTACATGATTCAAAACACTGGAAGACAGACAAGATGAAATTCCATGCACAAATATATATTGTATGTTATTCTTCTTTTTCTCTCTTCAAAAATAAGAATTTAGCTACTTATAATTGTAATTATTTTATTAATATGTTGAATAAAAAGAGCCTATCATAAAAATGGTGGAATCCAATTTAGTATACTTACCAGAATATATAATCCAAATTACATGCAAACATCAATCTTCCTAAATTGCCATTGATGCCAGTATATGCAGAAGGATCCATCTTCACTGTTTAATGTGAAAAGAACTACTTCCAAACATTTGCTTACATCCCATGTAAAACTCTCATTATGTTCATTTAAGAAGACACATCTTTTATTGGTGTCTGCCTGTTTATTCCAAATTCAAATATTATTGTATTGCAATACACAAGGTTGTTTCAGGAGTTGTTTCAAATGTTCCCCTCATGACTACTAGCATTTGCCTTCCTCTTGAATATGTGATATATCAAAAAAAGAAAATCAGTTATTGTTTAATTATGACAATTTTGATAAAAGTGATAGCAATTGCAGAAATATGTGTATTTAGAAATGTGTTCTCCTTCATATAGCCTCAATCTCTGTGTAGATAGTACTTCCTGTGACCTGTCCACAGAATGAGGTTAATTGAAAACGGATGGCACATTTCTACAAGACTACTGCTATCAAATCACTTTTATGACTCAAGTTTCTAATTGATGGTAAAGAATGAATGATAATTATTAATTTTATGCATTCATCTAATCAAATATAAATGTACTAGAAAATGTATAAATTAAACCTGTAACAGATGATGAGAGCTAGTGGGATTTTTTATGAAAAAGATAAATATTTGTAAAAATGTGTAATATGTTGTAAAAATTTCAATTTGGATAGGCTTCAATCAAAAGTCACCAAAATTAAATTTCAACTGAACAACAGTCTATGGAAAATATTCCATAATGGATCGAAAATCTAGGGAAAGGATCACATCTTATAGTTAAAACTAACTAACAGTATGTTGCAAAAAATCATTTTAACATTAACATTACTTGCAAACTTTCATAACATATATATTTTGAAAGAATGGTTTCTTTCAAAGAACAGAATCTTTTGTGGCAAACTTTTTATTTCTGTTACAAGGGCAGAATGCTGATGAAAATTTTCTAAGTCTAAATTCCTGCTCATAAATGACTGTCAAATTTTCTAAGACAAAAATCCTGCTTATCATTCTACAGAAAAGATCATTTTCCTCAAAAGTCCAGCCGTGCTTATTTTCTTGTCAGCATTACAAAAAGTGCGGTTGGACTTTAAAGAAAATACCGGCTGGCAAATAACCCAAATATAAGAAATAGTACGTGTACGGCTCATGTCAGATTGGACTTTTCAAAGTCAGACTGGAATACGTCTCGAGTCCAGACGGAGTCCAGTTGAACTCCGGTTGAAATTTTCATACGGGATGTGCCTAATAGAACACGTATATGTCATATCGCTTGTTTTTACTAACACTTCAAGGTTGAGTTGATCCAAGGAAGCAGTTGAAAGAATATCCATATAAAAATAAGGAGATGAGGTATGATTGCCAATGAGACAACTATCCACCAAAATTCAAATAAAGTGGATGTAAGCGGCCTGTTTATACTGAGGATAAAAGTTGTCTTTTACGGGCTGAACTGTGTTGTTGGATGGTTGAGTAGTCTCACTTCATGGTAACGGAAACGCTAACAACAAAATGCGAAAACGTTACAATATTGTTGTTTTATTTCCACTTTTGCGCGTAGGAGACAAAAGTTCTCAGTATATTAAATAAAAGTTTTTACATTGAATTTTAGTGAAACATTTATAAGAATATATTCTACATAGTTTTATATTTACACCTATACGTAGGAAGTATTTTGTTTTAAATCTGTACTACTTTC